GCAAAGTATCAGTCTACAGCCTCTTCCCTGCTCCCTAAGCAAGGGCAGAGGGAACAGAGATTACCCTAATCTCCTGTCACCGGCCCAGAACGCGTTGCTAGGCAGGTGGCTGGGGACAACTTTCACAGATAAGTCTCCAAAGGGCTCCACGAGCGTTACTATGGATGCCAGTGAAGTACAAAGGTGAACACGGAGCAAAAGGAAAGGCAAAGCATCTACTGCAAAGATAATTTAGCTTGCTCAGAGACTCTGCTAACAGACAATATATAAGTATGAATTTTTTATCACCAGATACTGTGTAACTTAAGAGAAAAAACAGTTTCCTGGTTAGTTTTCTAGTTTGTTTGGTTTTGTTTTTTTTTTTAATTAAAGTAAATAATTTTTATTGTTCATAACAAACTACAGAAATCCCAGGCAAGATGGTATCTCGTATGTGGAACATTGGTATGGCCTACGTGATATTTTCATTTCTGTTGATAATGTCCAATGGCCATCAAAAGAAAGAATATGATTCAAAATAAATAAAACCCAAACATAACAGTTGAAATCAAGACATATGGAAAAAACTTTAAATCCTCAGGAATTAATTCACCTGCTGATAACTTCTTAATATTAAGGTTCATTGACATATTGATAGATGGTAGACAACTCAAAGTTAATACTCAAAAAACCCTAAAAATTGTAGAGCAAGTTAGTATGCAAACAATTTTGCAACGTATTGAAACAGCCAGACCTACAGCAGGATGGTGTGGAGTGGTCAGGGTCAGGCCTCAGGCCTTTTTCTTACAACGCTCAGAAGGCAAGCGACAGGGTGTCGCCAACACTGACTAAAACGACAGGATGAAGAGCAAAATCTGCCTATTTGGTAAAATCAAACATGTGTGAAACATCTGAGACAGGCTTCTGTCGGAATCCAGTCCGAGACGCCGGCATGAACTAACCCAGCAACAAACGTGAGCAGCGTTGTGCGATGGAGCGTCCCACGGATGTGCTTGTCCCAACACCTCAGTTTCCGCTGCCAGGACCAGAAATGCCAATTTAATCATAATCCTGCTACGTAACCACAGAGCAGCACTTGCATTTAGTACGAACAAAGCAACCCCAAAAGGAATCAGAATCCAATGAAATTATTACCTCGTAACTACCCTGCACAAACTCTTCCCACTGTGAGGCGGAAAACAAGCGAGCCAAAACGCGGTAGGTACTGGTCACACTTCAGCCACACCACAGGGCAACGTGCCACATCCACACAGCGATGACAGCGCGATGGCCCAGCACTCTGCCCAGAAGAGCACGAGGCCCCGTTGGGTCAGAAACTGCTGCTCGTGTTTACTGCACACACGGCGCTGGCGCAAGCTGGGATTCGGCACAGGCAGCGGAACTCCAATGGCAGGAAAGCCAGAGTGCTAACAGCCAAAGGACAGGCAGCCATCAGCCAGCGAGGCTGCTGGAGAGCCCTGCACCTCTGCCTGGTGCGCGCTGCAGGCAGCTGGGCAGACAGGAAAGAACAAACAACTCAGAGTCTGACTTTAAGTGACACTTAAGAACTGAACCCCACATCAAGAGCAAGGCCGTGTCGAAGGCACGTTACACGAGCATACCAAGGTCTTTGCTCCAAACCACATCTACTGGAACGGATGACACACTGGAAAGAAAAGGGTTACCCCGATATTTTCTTAAGCTCAGCTACGCCGAGGAGGCCTGCTCCCCCGAAACACCGTGCGAGCGGCCGTGCGAAGCACTTACACAGAAAAAACTGTACGAAAGGCAAAAGAGGATTCCTCTCCATGTCTGGAGGACTGCTGGAACTAGGGATTCTCTGCTCTTATTTAAATTTTTATCTAGTAAGCCTTCCTGTTTAGACTTTGCTCAACTGGTCAGAATACAACATCACAAGAGAAAAATAAAAATAAGTTGGAAAACGCTCCAAGAGACCCAGAAGCTACACGCACTCACTAAAATATGCAGCAATGCAATTAAGCCAAGCAGATTCACAGAATCAACATCCCCAACAAAAAATGTATTCTTCCTAGATAGCAACCTAGCTCTACAAAAAACCACAGCTGATCTTGTGATGAAGTAGAATAAAACCAGCATAGTCAAAGAACTACTTAATTAGGTTATCAAGGAAAATCATAGCAGTTTAACTAAGATACTGATGCTGTAAACAAAAAGAAAACGTTTCATATTAACCCAGACAGATATGCCTGTAGAAGGGAGGAGCTGCATTACCTTGCCTTGCGAATATACAGCTGTGGGTGATACCTGTGTCTGGGGCACGCAAGCAAGGTGAAGTTTGTACCCACCACGGCACCCGGAGCAGTCATCATCTTTTCAAAGACATCTCCCATGTCTGGCTCTGTGAATGACAAAAATCTGTCAGGAGCAACAGAGAAACTTCATTATGTAGGCTTTTAAATTACCAGAAAAACTGCTGGAGGAAAGTGGAGTTTTGAACTTAAACCGTAGAGGGCACAATGCTCCGTGTCTTGTAAGTTAAGCAACGAAGTTCGAATGACAGTAAAGATGTAAAAGAATTGTTACTGAATTAACTTGCTAATCGATCCAGCATCCCAAACCCGAGTAAGCTTCAAAGCAATCAGGAATTGGTGGGATCAAATCCCTACAGAAATACTAGCCTGACAACCAACACTATATGCTACTGGAGAATCTCTTTGTCAGGACTCGCTGTGCTGATGGAAAGCTGACATTTGCTGCTGGGCTAGGTCTGACGAAAGCCTTTACTCAGGTAGTTTGCTGCAGCTGACACACCACTACAGAGCTTTTGAGCATGACTTGGAACTAAGACATCTAGAAATGGGCATATCAGAAAAGGTTCCAGTTCACTTCAAGAAAAGCTCCAAGCAAAAAAACAGTCATTAAGTAGATGCCTGGATTATTAGTCTGAACTCAGGACTGCAAACCCAAGTCAAATGCTGTTCTCTGATTACGATGTGCATTCTCCACCTTTATACCCCTGCTCTAAAAGAAATAATCCTGGTTTCCTTTCTATGTCTCGAGCACTCCTTCCAACCCTGGCTAAAGCATCCCCTCCCCACCTTGTACTCGCTTGGCTAAACAAGAGGTAGTGCCTGACGTGGCTGGTTCGGAGGTAGGGCACGGTGCCTGGCTGACAGGCAGGAACCATGCGTGTGTGTGCTTGGGAGCACATATGTACACACGTGCCAAGCAGCCTGTTAGCCACTGTTTCTTGGAGTACAAGATTCCAATCTCTACTCCGCCAGAAATCTTCACAAAACTTGTAAGAATTTATTTCTGAGATCTTTACTCCTGTTTGAAGTCCTGTCTGTTTCTGGCAAACTTAAAGACTGCAGGAAATGGACAGACTGCTGAATGGACTGCTGGAGCACACGGGTAACCAAACACACCTCTTTCACACGGTATGTCCACTAGAGGATACTTTAAAATTGTGTTTTCTGCATGTTTAGAGAATGATAACTGTTCTCAGTATTTAAAAAAAAAAAAAAAAACCACACAAAAAAGCCCACCAACATAGCACATACTAATGTGTATTAATGATAATGAGATTTGAGATTGTTCCCACTATTTTATTCTTAAAATAGTACTAAATTCTTACCTAAATTCTCATCAGCTGGTATGAAGAGAAGTATAAACTGCAGTTCTGGTACAGTGACAAAAGCTCTCCTGGACAAATAACATAACTGTATTCAGTCTTTCATCATTACACCAAATCAGATACAGTAGATAGTCTTCTAGTAGATAATTTTTTTCCCCCAGTGTCTCTAATCTTCCTTCATGAGTCCACATGGCTCAAAAATTAAAACATTTTATTTATGACAAATAAAATCACATGAAATTCATCTGGGCATTTTTGTAACTGTTGTTTTTTTTTTTCCTATCTTATTTCTCTCAATTTCCTAATTCTTAGATTTCAACATCCTCCTTTTTATATCAGTTCCCCAGTGGTGAAAAAATTAAAGATGCCAGATCTCTGCTGGCAGATCTCTGACCCGGCATCTGGACGAGCCAGCTTGACATGACAAAGCAACTGTAAATTCAGCAGCACGAGCACAAAATGCAATTCACTCTGTGCATGTAAGTAACTTCTGAGCTATACCAACCAAGCTGGGCAATGTATATTTGAGTACTGAGCTAACTCAGTAATAGATTGCACTGTTTGTACCCTATAGTCTGCAGTCTCACCATGTAATCCGCAGCTAACAAACTGTCTAGAGATTACCAGGAACAAGCATATTGCAGAAACACCTGCAACTTTTTAAGCTTCTTGCTCAGTCACACACTTCGATTTTTACAAGCAGAAATTTAGGAAATAAATAAATTAAAAAGAAATTATAAATAGATAGATGGATGGATGGATGTGCCTTGCAACTGCAGTACTCCTCCTGTGGAAAATTACAGCAAAGACACAGCTAAAGCTCAACACTGCTTTGGGAACATAACTGGAACCGTTAACAGCTTTGTTTCAAAGCCAACAGTGCACATTTCATTATACAAGGTTGTGTTCTCTTACCTTCCAAGACTGCTAAGAGAGATACTTAACTTGGATCCAGTGACACCTTAAGGCACTTTTAAATTCCATAGCCTCTCCAAACGATGGCAGAAGAGCGCACATGCTTCACTACACAAAGTCATACATGAACTCACCTAACGATTTCTTGGGAACATCCGGCTGTATATTCTTCTTTTGCCACAAAAAGGTGCAGGAACAATGTGTTCAAAGGCTACAAAACAAGGAATGACAGTCTGAACACCATGCAGATAATATTTATTAAGTCAACCCAAGTATTAATATGCACATTTATTTCCAATATATATGATCTGCACTCAGAACGAGTAGCTTCACATATATAAGTAATTTCCAAGCACGTGTGGATAAAGTTCTGTGATTCAAGGACTTTATTTATACCATGATTTGTGCTTCTGTAATATTTTGGATTTACGCTGATGCTCGCCATTGTTTGACTACAATATACATTGTTTCATATTTAACAGTATTAATTCCAGACTAACAACATTTTAATTTGATCACAACAATTAGCAACTCATTCTTAACAACATTTAATGTACATTTGGCTGATAAAGACATTTTTTCTAGGTCTAAAAAACACAAAAGCTCACATACTTCTCATACTCCTGAAATGTTTTTTCTTTAAAAGTAGTAAGTAAAATTACAAAGTCTTAAGATTACATCATTAGACACATTTAAATATCCAGGCAGAAACAGGGCAGACTAAAAACCATCTTTATCTTATATGCCTCCAGCTAACCTGGAAAACACTAGCAAAGCAAAACCCTTGTGCTGGAACTGAAAGTGCTGTTAACTCAGCTGCTTTCTATTGCATATTAATTTCTAGTGTTCAACCAGTGAAGGTCTACCTGTGGATGAAATATTTCCACAAAAAAAAAAATTTAAATGGGAAAATTTGACATCTTCTGCACAGTTTAATATTCAACTAAAACATCACGGCTAGAGTCACCAACAAATTTAAGCAACTTCAGAGCAAGAATGATTTTAAGAGGCTGCAGTACATGGACCAGCACCAAGACAACATGCTACTGTAATGAATAAACATTGAAAGCTCTTTCTAAAAAGCAGACTTTTCTTTTTTGTTTATTTTTTAAATGCAGAAGAAAAAGGTCCAAGAGGCCCAGGAGGCAAGATTTGGCCTATAACTGTTCCTGTATACTGATGGTAAGCAGGCAATCCTGTAAAGCATCTTCACTAATTAAATTCTGCACAAGTCAACTCCTAATTTAGACCTTGAAGCTATCTTATGATTTCTGTGCTCTAGGAAAAAGACTTGTCAAGTAGACTTTTAAGAAATTCTATTTTCAGAAGATCTTGAGTTTGCAAAGCACATCTGCAAGGATTTAACCCGCAGTTAACCAACAATATCTCATCTAGTTACAACTCAGAATTGGTTCAGTTGCTTTGCCAGCGCAGAAGCATAAAATATGTACTGGATCTTCTGCACGCATTTTAGAAAATAATCTCCATTCTAGCAAAAGCAGAGTTCTTCTGCTCCTTGTCAATGTTCCAAGTACTCTTCACTCCTGTTTATGAGTAGTAATTCCTAACATGCTCCAGCTCTTTTGGTTTTTGTGTTCCCTCTTTGCATGCCCTGCACGCCGCAGGCAGAGGCTGCAGGACAGACCGCGCAGCGCAAGCCCACCAAAGCCCGCAGCAGCAGCTGCACGGTGCATGAAGCGGCTGTGCCTGCAACACTCCTGCACACAAAGTGCTGCTCAAGTGACAAAGAAAACAGATCACAAGGAAATCCCATGGCTTTTTTCTCTACTCCCTTTGGCTGTAACAATTTTGTTTCTTTTAACAGCATACAGCATTTTCAGATACAATTGCTGTATTTGTCAGGTTTTCTGCAAGCCACTGCTTAACTCACCCCGAACAACACTGGAAAACTGATGAACAAACTGTCTAGAGATAATTCCAGTTCTGCCAATACCTTGTTCTGGCATGTGCTGCCTGGCTTTGGAGTGGTTAGGGCTAACATTTTCCATCTTCTCTCAACAGTGACAAGAACTAGTTCCTAGCTGAATGGCGGGCAGCATTTGAATCCTGAACTTCTAAGTGTCTATTTCTAGCCCACGATTCCTAGGAGTAATTCATGAAGTTGAGGAGGATTCCATATGAAAACTGGCACCCCGCAGAACGGAGCGCAGCAATCCCCACATCAGCACCAAACGAGCTTACTCCAGAACCAAGATGCCCATACCAGCATCTTCCTCCACCCAGTGTAAGCCACCATCCTCCAAGCAGGGGTACACCCCCTGTCCCTTATTCTTTCTGAAGCCATTTAATTGGCATTCGGTTCTATAAAAGAGCTAAACTTTATTCCAAAAGGTGAGAAAAGAGGATCCCAGTTCCCTTACAGCGAGAAGGGCCTTAGAGCAAGGACTCCACCTCCCAGGTAAACATTCTGTTACTTAGCAGCAGAGCTGGACGGGTGTTGGAATGAAAACCACTGGTGACAGCCACCATTCACACCGCTGTCGGCGCCAGCACAATGCATCAGCCACGTTCTGCACGTGGCTGGCAAAGAAAGGATTGTGGTCCCTAACTGCCATCCTTGCAGCCACCCTCAGTCACAGTAGTGGCAGGAGCACAGGTACTCACCAACTGCTGAGCACCTGAGGGCTTAGGAAGGACTCAGATTGTCACCTTCTTCTGCCTGAATGCCTCAAATCTACCTCAAAGAGATTTTTAGATGCCTGTGCATATTTTTCATATCTGAGTCTTAAGTGAAAACCCAACTAAAATCACACAATTTACTTACAGTGCATTTATTGTTAATGTAGTTTTCACGTAAGAACGATTCCCAATCAGACTGGTCAGTGATATTCCAATTTGGATAGTCCAGAAAGACAGCATGGGCTATAGCCTCGTTCTTCTCATTGCAGAGTGTCAAAGCAAGAGTTGATTTTTCTCTGTGAAAACAATTTAATTTAGCAAAGTTGAAGAAACTACACAAAGAAGAGTGACTGACTTAATTCAGCCTGTTAGAATAGAAAAATTAACTGTGTTCAAAAGTGCTGCCAGGATTTTTCTCTGTGAAAACAATTTAATTTAGCAGAAGTTGAAGAAACTACACAAAGGAAAGTGACTGACTGTTAATTCGGCCTGTTAGAATAGCAAAATTAACCGTGTTCAAAAGCGCTGCCAGCATCGAGAACTTCATTGCCCACATCCTAACTTGACATTGTTGCTTCAATTCCAAATATTTATTTAGTTTATTCTGACATTACAACAATTCACATGATTTTTCAAATCCTCAATTACTATGAATTTGATATGCAAGACTAAATGCTCCCTCTTCTTTGCGTGTTTCTTCATATGTATCTTTTTTCCCTGAAATAGCTGGTATCTGAGACATTTGCCATTAAGTCAAGTGGAAAAAACCCTAAGTGACCCTTATGCTGGTAGCATTTCACAGAGTCTGTCTCTGCTGTTCCACCACTGCACAGAGGATGAAGCGCAGAAGGTCCATGGCTATCTCCAGTGATGAAGATATGGTAACAGAAGACTTTTACAGCCACCCATGTCCACTAAGAACATTGCCATGCAAGCAGCTAGGATACAGATGTCAAAACATGGAGGATATTAGGCATCTTGGGGGCACAAAAAGAAGAGGCACATTGAAACATATTTTATGGCAGACAGAGGCTGTCGCCCAGGGTAGAATAAAGAGTGGCAAAACCCCACCAATTCCTTTCATTAAGGGGAAACTAGAAGAGAAGGAAAAGATTTAGACATATAAAGGAAAACAAAACAGAGCAGTGACAGCCACAAAGCAATAAAAAACCCTAGTCCCTGCCCCTCTACTTCCATCACTCCCCAACAGGCAAAAGGATCCTGCTACAGGGAGCAGGCAGCAAACATTCGAATCTGACAGCTTCATCAGGTATTATTCAGAAGCATGTCTTCTGAGCTTTTATAAAAAGGAAGCTAGTAGAGAGTCAAATCTTGACCACCATGCTGGCAGCAGTGATCCAAGCCTGCACAAAGTCATGCACGTGTGATGCAGAGAAGGGATGGAAGCACATTTTCTTTCCCTTTTTGTGAAAAGTCCTTACGCCACACCACGTAAAGGCTCATGTTTTCTGCCATTTTACATGGAATATAATTTCTCGAACTTTCCTGCAAGAAAGGCAACATAATATCCCTAAAATACTGTTACTTACAAAAGGTACGTGACATCAATCCTTCCAAAAACGACTTCAGTAAAACGGTTGAAGAGGCTGATAATATCTGAAACATCATGTGATTCTGTTCTTCTGGCACTGACCACTTCTGTCTTCCCTCTTGAAGTAGTTACTGTAGTCATCTTACGGGCTGCAGCGAGAAAGAAAGAAAACATTGCTGTTCTGGCACATCCTGCTGCAATCCGTCATTCAACATAGCTTCTTGGAATGGTTTTTCATACGAACTGTGAAGGAGCACGGTTCAGATGGATGTAAGTGCCTAGTTCCTGTAGACCTCTACAAAAATACTGCCTGCCTGCACAAACAGCATGCCCAAGTGGAAATAAAGCAGGCAATCATACCAGCTGTATGCATTCCACATGCTGCACAGAAAACAAGTGTTTCTCATAGGCTACAAATTGCTTTTACTTTGATTTGTTTCTAGGCACTTGCAGGTGATCTATCAGAACAGTGCTCATCATTAATAACGTAAAACTTAACAGCCTTGTCTACAGGGTGGGAGCAGCAGCTGCAAACAATCAGGGTAAGAATGCCACGGTAACACTGAACAGCAATTTCAGGTGAGTTAAGTGTATTTTATTCAAAACAGCTCCTCAAATTGCTTTAAGTCAACAGCGATATTTAAATTTCAGAAGGAACTGAAAGCTCTATAGCTTCCATGCCCAGAAGAAAAGCATTTTTGTGGTTCCACATTCACAGACTTTGTCATGTCCAAGTGATTTATCGACATGCCTAGCAATTTCAGAACATAGAGAGGCAACAGGCATCCAGACCAGCTGTGACTATCAAGAGTTCATTTATTTCAGCTGTGCTGCTACTCACTATTGTAGCCTGTTGTGATATAATCAAGAATTAGGCACAAATTAACCAAACACAACGACTTTCTGCAATTTCTTAAACATGCTCGTGCATTACTACCTCAAAAAAAGTGCAAAGTTTAAATAACCAACATACCTAGACCAGCAGAACACTTTTACCAATCTAGCAAACACAATAGCCATTTCTAACATTGCCTCCAAACCCAGGTGTGATGCCCAATTATCAGGTCTCACAGATCCCAACTGAAATGAGACAACAAAGGAAACCCTGAATTTTACACTTTTGGAATAGAAAGTCATGTGTATAGCTGTATCTTTCACGCACAGTCGAGGCATTGTTACAGGCTACACCACAGGTCTCAGCCATGCAAACATACGTTCGCAAAGAGGTCGCAGCACAAACCTGAGGTAAAAAATCCTCTGCAGGTTTTGGCGTGTGTGCTGAGTAACAGAGCTGTGGTTACCTAGAAAGAACCAGCGAGGCTAGAGTGTGCTTATTAGTGGGTGTAACAGCAACGTCTGCAAGAAAAAAAATATACTAGCTTATGTTAGCAACTTCTCAACCGTTGTAAGCTGTAAAATATATATATATTCTTCTAGTGGAGTGAAGGCAACTACAACCCGGGCTAAATGACAGGCGATTCTGAACATGAGCAAAGAAAGCGGCCACATAACTCACTCACACACTTCGTTAATCAACTGCAAGCTGTGAGACTGCTAAAATCGTGGGTTAGTTTTCATTAATGACAACTGCACGTATAAAAACACACAGGAATTTTACAATGTTAACTAACTCCAGTCTAGCATTAAGATCGCTTCGCCTGAGGAAGAGTCTGCCAAATTTCCAGTTTCAATTATTTAACTTAACGCATTGAAAATAAAAATCCCCGCTCTCCATCAGCTGCCCC